TACTAGAAATGTTTATTACATTTCATATACAAAATGATTCAGAATATCATTTTTTTTTACAATATGAAGAAATATTGTGACTGGGAGAAGATTCATGAACATACTGACTAGTGAAACATTGTGAGAGTAATGAGTATTGTGAATGATAAAGAGTATATATTAGTTCTAAAGAATTCTAATGAAAGACCAAGGCAAAGGTGGGTACATCTTATGCTGTCCAATGATGAATAACTATGATACTTTCAGCTTCCTCAACCTCACTTTACCAAAACTCGTTTATATTTAAAATTACGAGCCTGTTTTAGTAGTCGTGAAGTTGAGCAATTGTCATTTGATGAATTAGTAGTTGTATGAAAGAAAATTGAAAACCAAAAAAAGGGACACACATCTGTACAGGTCTCTCTCTCTCTCTCTCTCTCTCTCTCTCTCTCTCTCTCTTTCTCTCTCTCTCTCTTGTTATAAAGCTAAATACAGTTACTCCTCTCGCCCACTCTTTTGATTACAGGTAAAATATGTCCATAGTATTGCTACTAGATGTTTAGTTCAAACAAATACATAACTACATACTTAGGGTACACTTCAAATTCCTATGATATACGTGTGATATTCGCTAGGAATAATATAATACACTTATACATAGAGATTGCACGTCTAGTTATTTCAAAATATCACTCAGTCTTTCACTACATTTCAAAGGTATTTTCTTCTGTTACTTCAACACACGAAATTAATGCAAAATAAACCAAGTCTTATAAAATGGGCACTGGCAACAGAAGCTTGGAATATAAAAAAGGAACTTTCATATCAGTCTTTGTCAGACATGTGAATGATTTACATCCAGTGTGGCACCCCAAGTTCACAGCCATTCAAGATAAATTTACATTAGGTATAAAGTTGTATTTACACTGGTGGCGATGTATTTACAAGAAAATGTCTTCACTCTTGGATAGGGTCCGTTCACTGACAACGGGAGAGCAATACATGCAGGAGGGATCATTCCAACACCGTTAATTCACGTAAAACAAACATTGTCATTCCTGTATCTTTCGCGTGTTAACTGTGCATCACTTCTTCGCGAGTGTCACTTCTAAATTTTCAGTCTTTCGATGAGATTTGGACTTCTAGGTCTTCCCTTCTCTTCCTCGGGTCTGAGAGTGGCTGATCCCTTGGTCTTCGAGTCGGCAAGGCGTTTTGAGACTTTCTTCAAGAAGGAGGTAGCATTCTTATCCCAGGTTCTATAGTGAAGGGCTGTTAGCGATTTGTATTCTGTTGGGAGAAGTGAAACGGTAAATTGTAGATAGTGAAGAATACATATCGATACCGAATTGGCATCTGATCTACATAATTTTCTGGAATGCCCAAATCCTTGAATAATTTGTTTCCCACTCTAATAATAATATTTTTTTTTATTGATTTATGAAATTCATGACTCACAAGCTTATAGAAAGACACAAACATCCACCCTATACACTCTAAAATAAGACAGACTGTTGATAAAGACGAAAAAAACCTACCCAGAACCTAATAAACACAAGTAAACAAAACCTCACCACAGTCTAAAAATCAAACACATTAGTGATATAACGAAGAAACACCGATAAACTCTACCCAATCACAATCGAGCTGACTAATGCTCTGAACACACACACACACACACACACACACACACACACACACACACACACACACACACACACACACACACACACACACACAAAAAAAAAAGGTAAATCACTGCAACCACTGCCTTACCATTATCGAGTCCAGGAGTCGTCATCTTGAGGTAGGTGTTGGGCACGGTGTGGACTTCCGAAGAGTCGACACAGGGAAGGTCTGCCAGGGGGACCAGAGCCTCTCCTATGAAAGTGTTGGAGCGGCCGAGGTTGTAGTCCTTCAGGGTGAACAGGAGGAGGCCGGCGCGGACTCCGTCGTCTTCTCGGTTGACTTCACTGAAATGGGAAAATAATTGGATGTGAGTCTTTGGTTTATGTTGGTTTACGTTGGTTTATGATGGTTTGCGTTGGTTTACGTTGGTTTATGTTGGTTTATGTTGGTGTTGGTTTATCGTTGGTTTATGTTGGTTTGTTGGTTGTTGGTTGGTTTATGTTGGTTTACGTTGGTTTATGTTGGTTTACGTTGGTTTATGTTGGTTTACGTTGGTTTATGTTGGTTTACGTTGGTTTATGTTGGTTTACGTTGGTTTGTGTTGGTTTTACGTTGGTTGTTGGTTTACGTTGTTTATGTTGGTTTGTTGGTTTCGTTGGTTTATGTTGGTTTACGTTGGTTTATGTTGTTTAGTTGTTTGTTTTGGTTTACGTTGGTTTATGTTGGTTTAAGTTGGTTTACGTTGGTTTATTGTTTAAATGTTGGTTTACGTTTGGGTTTATGTTGGTTTAGGTTTACGTTGTTTATGTTGGTTTCGTTTTTGCGTTGTTAAAAAAAATGAAAAAAAAAATGAATGCGGTAACAGAAAAATAACAAAACAAACTATACGATAAAAAAGTAAAAAAAAGAAATAAATAAATAAAAAAATAACTCAACAAAATGACATATAAAAATGAGAAAACCAAAACAAAACCAAAAAAGAAAAGAAAAGAAAAAAGAAGAAAAGAAAAAGAAAAGAAAAAGAAAAGAAAGAAAAGAAAAGAAAAGAAAGAAAAGAAAGAAAAGAAAAGAAGAAAAGAAAGAAAGAAAGAAAAGAAAAAAGAAAGAAAAAGAAAAGAAAAGAAAGAAAAGAAAAGAAAAGAAAAGAAAAGAAAAGAAAAGAAAAGAAAAGAAAAGGAAAAGAAAAGAAAGGAAAGAAAAGAAAAGAAAGAAAAGAAAGAAAAGAAAAGAAAAGAAAAGAAAAGAAAAGAAAAGAAAAGAAAAGAAAAGAAAAGAAAAGAAAGAAAAGAAAGAAAGAAAAGAAAGAAAAGAAAAGAAAAGAAAGAAAAAAAGAAAAAGAAAAAGAAAGAAAAGAAAGAAAAGAAAAGAAAAGAAAAGAAAAGAAAAGAAAAAGAAAAAGAAAAGAAAAGAAAAGAAAAAGAAAAGAAAAAAAAGAAAAAGAAAAAGAAAAAAAAGAAAAAGAAAAAGAAAGAAAAAAAAGAAAAACCCACACAAACGTTTTCCGAAACTCACAACTCAACGTTTCGTCATAAACAGCTGGGTCTTTCCTCTGGGTCTTGGTCTTGCGTATGGCCGCCGATGGGAACCAGTCCTGAGGAACCAGCTGGACCTTCACGTAAGAATCGATGACCTGGTGGGCGTGAGGACCCATGCGAGAGGTCATAATTCCCGTGTCACTCTCTATCACTATGTCGTGGGCCATGATCACTTCCACTATCAATTTGCCTGGACGTGTAAACAGCATCTGAGGGGAAAAAATGGAGGGGAAAGGTGTGTAAAAAAAGTGAGATGTGTAATAGATAAAATGGTAAAAAATAGGGGGAAAGGGGGGAGTGTAAAAGAAATTGATGAGATATGTAATAGATAAATAATAAGGTAAAAAATAGGGGAAAAGGGCGATTCTGATGAGATTTGAAATAGATGAATAAAAAAGATTAAAATAGGGAAAAAAGGGGGGGGAGGTGTGTAAAAAATGAGATTTGTAATAGATAAAATGGTAAAACATAGGGGAAAAAGGGGGTCGATTCTGATGAGATTGGAAATAAAGAGAGAGAGAGAAATAAAAGGAAAAAAGGAGGGGAAAGGTGTGTAAAAAAGTGAGGTGTGTAATCGATAAAATGGTAAAAAATAGGGGGAAAGGGGGGGCGATTCTGATGAGATTTGAAATAGATGAATAAAAAAAATAAAAAATAGGGAAAGAAAAGGGGGGAAAGTGTATTTTTTTTATGAGATGTAATAGATAAATAATAAGGTAAAAAATAGGGGGAAAAGGGGGCGATTCTGATGAGATTTGAAATAGATGAATAAAACAAAAGATTAAAATAGGGAAAAAAGGGGGGAAGTGTGCACAAAATGAGATATGTAATAGATAAATAATAGGTAAAAAAGGGGAAGAATGGGAGGCGATTCTGATAAGATTTGAAATGATAAATAAAACAAAAAAATAAAATAGGGAAAAAAAGGGGGGGAAGGGGTGTGAACAATTTGATGAGATATGTAATAGATAAATAATAAGGTAAAAAATAGGGGAAAAAGGGAGGCGATTCTGATGAGATTTGAAATAGATAAATAAAACAAAAAGTTTAAAATAGGGGAAAAGGGGGGGTGATGAGATATGAAACAGAAAAAAAAAAATTAAAAAGGGGAAAAAAATAAAGAATCAAATGGGTTATTAAGAGTAAAACATGAAACAAAAACAATGAATCAAAAGAAATTATTCATGAAAAAAAGTGAAAGAAAATTGACGAAAAGGAATAATCATCATACAACATAGTCTATCATACATTATATTATTTACCTTTGTGACCAATTGTGCTTTTGTTGGAAGACTTGACTTGACCTGTTGCTCGTGGCGTTCTTGATAATATTTTGATATCAGCGCCTCGGTGGACATCCTTAAACTGTCCAACAACTCCAGGAGGGACGTGTATTCTAAAATAAAATGAAAATGTCTTAAAAAAATGGTCATAGTACTGCTAAGATTGTTAGACAGTGCTATAAATAAAAGGAAGAAATCTTAAAGAACCTTGAAGAAATAGTTTTTGTACGACTAAGATTGTTAGACAGATTTATAAAGGGCATTAGAATAGAGTTGGAGAGACGTGTATTCTAAAATAAAATGAATTGTCTTTAAAAAAACTTGAAGAAAAAGTCTTAGTACTACTAGGATTGTTAGGCAGTACATAATATGCATTAGAGTAGAGTTGGAAAAACGTGCATTCTAAAAAATGAAAATAAAAAAAACAAAGATAAAATCTTGGTACTACTAAAATTGTTAGACAGTACTATAAATTAGTACGTGTAAAGTGCATTAAAATAGAGTTGGAGAGACGTGTATTCTAAAATAAAATGAAAAACTCTTAAAAAATTAAAAGACAAAGTTTTTACCAAGATTGTTAGACAGCACATATAAATGCATTAAAACAGAGTTGGGGAGACGTGTATTCTAAAATAAAACGAACACCCTTTAAAAAAAATTAAAGATAGTCTTAGTCCTACCAAGACTGTTAGACAGCACTATAAAATGCATTAAAACAGAGTTGGGGAGACGTGTATTCTAAAATAAAACGAAAAAACTCATTTAAAAAAACAAAAAGAGTCAGTCCTACCAAGGCTATTAGAAACTACTATAAAGTGCATTACAATAGAGTTGAAGAAACGTGTATTTTAAAATAAAACGAATAAACACTAAAAAAAAAAAAGATAAAGTCTTAGTCCTACCAAGAATGTTAGAAACTACTATAAAGTGCATCAGAATAGAGTTGGAAATCTTTACCTGGCGTCTGAGCACTTTCCGTGTCGATGCCGATCCCTTCATCAGGTGAGAAGAATTTCAGCGTGGACTCAAGAATATTCCTGACGCCTCCGAAGTAATTGGCTCTTCTTCTCTGAAATCGCGTTTTTCACTTTCAGTTTAAGTCTCAGAATCTACATATTCAACTTATTTAAAACATGCATTAACATACGATGATAAGAGGACACAGATAAACCTCTAAAAAAAAAAAAAAACAAATAAAACTAACCTCAGTATTTTTGGCAACCGTGGACCTGAAGAGTTCCACCATCACCTCCCACACATGCCACAAGAACCTCTGGAAGTTCAAACTGTGGAGATTGTTGTGCAGAAGTTTGAAGTTTGGGTAAAGCACCTGGTCGAGTAGGGGAGCCTCGTCTTGCAATTCGCACGCCTCGTAAACTGCCTTTTCTAACGTTGGTTTCATCTGCAGGGTGAAAGACACAGTTTTAGACTGGCTGTCGAAAAGGGGCAATTTTTATTGTTTGTGTAAAAGACGTGGGATGATATTTCAGTCTTCCAGATGAGTAAACAGGATTATAAGTTTATTGATAATCATTTATCAATTAATATTGATTAATAAATAACAATAATCATAATAATATGTGAGATATATATATACGTGAGAGGATATTCATATCCATATAAGCAAACAACATAAATTATATGTAGTATAATTATTACTTTCCCATTCATCATAATGTATCAACAAACCTATTCACTTAATCTATTCTCCAGTTACAGGACACGAATCACAAAGACCACCCTCGCTCTAACGAACCTTTTCCATAACGGCCTCAATGAACTCATTCACTTTCCCCTCCATGTTCTCAGTCGCACTCGATATCAACCGCTCCACCGTCTCCTTCAGCTGCGAGGCCGCCGCACTGCCACTCCCGGCGGATCTCACGTCCTCCAGCAGAGCCTCGAACCCGAAGTGACTTGGAGTCTGTGAGTTCCCTCCGCTCGCTCGATGTTGTTGAGGCCCCACAGAGATCTGCGGGCGGGAGGAGAGGGTGAGGGAAGAGGTCTGGAAATGTGCCGTAGTGACAGGGACTGAACTTCGTACCAAGTCGTGTCTCCTGGATAAATGAAATGCTATTCTTCTCTATCAACTTTATTCAAAACATGAATCGTTATGTATGCGCTCTGTATATGTACATATAGATGTATACGTGCATTTATATATATATATATATATTATATATATATATATATATATATATATATATATATATATATATGTTGTGTGTGTGTGTGTGTGTATGTATTTATTTATCATACACCACACACACACAACACAAATTTTATCTACTAGAAAGTATTCCTGATATACAACAAACTGTCCTAGACTCTTACTTGATAAACAAAACACCGCACTCACCGCCCGTTATGAACAGCTGATCCGAGTTCTCCGTCTGCCAGAACATGGAGTCGACCTTGTCCCTGAGGAGGTCAGAGTAGGTCGTCGCGCAGCAGCAGACGTCCTCGAGAATCTTGGCCAGGAGGACGGCGCTGTTCTCGGGGTCGGGCCACGCCAGCTTCAGCCACCAGATTTTCACCTAAGGGGGAGGGGGGGGGGGGGTTTTTCAATTTTTTTAGTAGGTGTCAGTTATTGATATAATAACACCCGTGATTTTTTTTTTACTATTGAACAGAAACTCATTATGAAACACCAATTAGCTCTTGATATAACAACACCGGCGACCTAGTTATTTAATTCATGAAACATCAATCATGGTATATCAACCATTAACTACCTATATAATCAACACCGCGCCTTTACTCTAATCATAAAGAAAAGAAAAGAAAAGAAAAGAAATGAAAAGAAAGGAAAGGAGGAAAGGAAAGGAAAGGAAGGAAAGGAAAAGAAAGAAAGAAAAGAAAAGAAAAGAAAAGAAAAGAAAAGAAGAAAGAAAAGAAAAGAAAGAAAAGAAAAGAAAAGAAAAGAAAAGAAAAGAAAAGAAAAGAAAAGAAAAGAAAGGAAAAGAAAAAATATAAGATAAGATAAAATAAAGGAAACGAAAATAAAAGGAAATAATAGAAAAGAACGAAACGGAAAGAAAATAATAGAAAAGAAAAGAAAGGAATAGAAAAAAGAAAAGATGGAAAAGAAAAGAAAAGAAAAAAAAAGAAAAAAAACGAAAAAAGAAAAAGAAAAAAAGAAAAAGAAAAGCAAAAAAAACAAACAACAAAAAAAAACAACAACTCACATCATGGAAAATCCCTATCGTATCCGTAGCCGACGAACTGAAATTGCACAGGTTATCGACTGGCTGAAAGGTGTCGAGATCCACCGCCTTCTTGATCATGTCCTGAGCTCGTCGGATCGCCAGTTCGAGCCACCTCATGACGCCTCGAGAGAACCATCGGTGGTACTCGCGAACCCCCGAATCTGCGCGCACCTCCGAGGGTAGTGCTTCGCCGAGCCTGGGGTGAGGGGGGGAAGGGGGGTTGGAGTAATTATCGGAGAGATGTTGGGGGGTGGGGGTGTGTTTGTGGGGGGGGGGGTGTCTGTGTGTGTGTGTGTGTGTGTGGGAGGGGGGGGGGTGTTGTATTTGTGTGTGTGGGAGGGGGGTGTTTGCGTGTTGGTGTGTGTGTGGTGTGTGTGTGTGTGTGTGTGTGTGTGTGTGTGTGTGTGTGTGTGTGTGTGTGTGTGTGTGGTGTGTGGTGTGTGTGTGTGAGTGAGTGTGAGTGTGTGTGAAAGAGAGAGAGAAGAGAGAGAGAGAGAGAGAGAGAGAGAGAGAGAGAGAGAGAGAGAGAGAGAGAGAGAGAGAGAGAGAGGAGAGAAGAGAGAGAGAGAGTGCGTATGTGTGTATGTGTTTCTGTGTGTGCGTGTCTAATGCATGACTCGCTATATTTTATCTAAACTATTTTATAAAATCCTCTATCAGTGCATAATATCACGTTTGCCACCATGATTCTCTTCTCTTATGGGCGTCTTTGAATGCAATATTACAAAGATAAGTCTTTTGCAATACCATTGATAATAATTCTGCCTTCTTAATTCTGTCATCTTATACAATTCTATAATACCACAACAAAATGCCTTTAAATATAATTGCAAAAAATGCGTAGAAGATTTGATGATAATTTCTCTTTAACGATTTTTTTCTAATAGAATTATTTAAATGCAATATCGCATCAAAAAAAAAAAAAAAAAAAAAAATACATATAATAAAAAAATCTAATAACAGCAATTTTACACTCATGATTGTCCACCAATATTTTGCTTTAACTACAATAACACGTATGTTGACAAATGTAGGAAAAGTATGAATGACATTGAACATCTTAACAATACAAGAGATACATTCGACCAGTTTCGAACACATCTTCGTCAGAAATACATGTATCCCTGACGATAATATATTCAAAACCGACCAAATACACGTCTCGTATTGTCAAGATATCCACTCCCATCCACAACCTTTTCCTACACTACAATAAACACAATCATAACCCTTTAAAAAGACTTACAAATGAATCCGTCCCAGATTCCGGTACAGCTGCCAGAGTGAGGTGCCAACATCGAGTGCATATTGTACAGTCGTATCCAGGGGCTCCTCGCTATCACTCAGAGCTGGCATCCGGTTGTAGATGTTCATAACCAGCGGCCTCACGCAAGGGTTGATCTTCTTGCTTATCATTAGGTAGACTGTCTGCATGTACGAGATGTCCATTTCCCTGTGAGGTTTGGAGACGGGGGTTACTATTTTGAAGATTGGGGAAGAGAGAGGGAGAGGGGAAGGGATAGAGGGAGAGGGAGAGGGATGGAGGGAGAGGGGGAGGGAAGGGAGAGGGGGGAAGGGATGGAGGGAGAGGGATGGAGGGATGGAGGGAGGGGGAGGGATGGAGGGAGAGGGGGAAGGGATGGAGGGAGAGGGGAGAGGGATGAGGAGGGAGGAGGGGGAGGGATGAGGGAGAGGGGAGGGATGGAGGAGAGGGGGGGAGGGGATGGAGGGAGAGGAGGATGGATGGAGGGAGGATGGGAGAGATGGAGGAGGAGAGGGGGAGGGATGGAGGGGAGAGGAGGATGGGATGGAGGGATGGAGGGAGAGGGGGAAGGGAGATGGAGGGAGAGGGGAGGGATGGAGGGAGGAGGGGGAGGGATGGGGAGAGGGGGGAGGGATGGAGGGAGAGGGGGAAGGGATGGAGGGAGAGGGGGAGGGATGGAGGGAGAGGATGGAGGGAGAGAGGAGAGGAGGAGGGATGGAGGGATGGAGGGGAGGGGAGGGATGGAGGGAGAGGGGGGGGATGGAGGGAGAGGGGGAGGGTGGAGGGAGAGGAGGGGGGGGGAGAGGGGGAGGGATGGAGGGAGAGGAGGGATGGAGGGGAGGGAGGAGGGGAGGGGATGGAGGGAGAGGGGAAGGATGGAGGAGAGGGGGAGGGATGGAGGGAGGGGGAGGGATGGAGGGGAGGGGGAGGGGGGGAGGAGGGGGAGGGATTGGAGGGATGAGGGGAGAGGGGGGAGGGGGAGGGAGATGGAGGGGATGGAGGGATGGAGTGGAGGGAGATGGAGAGGGAAGGGATGGAGGGAGAGGGGGAGGAGGAAGAAGGATGGAGGAGGGAAGGAGGGAGAGAAGAGGATAGATGGATTGATAAATGGAGAGCGAGAGAGAGAGAGAGAGAGAGAGAGAGAGAGAGAGAGAGAGAGAGAAGAGAGAGAGAGAGAGAGAGAGAGAGAGGAGAGAGAGAGAGAGAGAGAGAGAGAGAGAGAGAGAGAGAGAGAGAGAGAGAGAGAGAGAGAAAGAGAGAAAGAGAGAAGAGAGAGAGAGAGAGAGAGAGAGAGAGAGAGAGAGAGAGAGAGAGAGAGAGAGGAGAGAGAGAGAGAGAGAGAGAGAGAGAGAGAGAGAGAGAGAGAGAGAGACAGAGACAGAGAAAGAGATAAAACCAATTGGAATATACTAAAATATACCCGACCAAAATAAATATATATGAAAAAATCCTTATTTTCATTAACTACCATCATTCATCGCATGATATATATACACTACATCCTCCCAAATTATCAGACTCCCCAGTATTTAAATAAACTCTATTACTTCTTGAGAATTCCGTTGTAGAAATTAGCAGCATGAGTGAGGAAGGTGTGAGATTCTTCAAGGATTTTGATGACTCTTAATATCTGCTCGTCTGCGGTTTTCACACCTATCAGCTGTTCTTCTACCAAGAGAGTCCACCTGCAGATATAAAGAGAATATGTAAGAACAGGTATATACAAATAAAAGTATTATATATACATATAAAACGCTCAAGTCAAACATTAATGCTAACAGTTTTGTAAATGCAGTCCCAATATATTTGTGCATATGTATGTAAGTATGTATGCATGTCTGTCTGTCTGTCTATCTGCCTGCCTTACTGTCTGTCTGTCTATCTGCCTGTCTGTCTGTCTGTCTATCTATCTACTATCTATCGATCCATCTATCTCCCTATCTATCTATCTATCTACCCATCCATCTTTCTATCTCTCTCACTATGTAACTATGTATCTCTACACGTAAGTTACTCCCAATTACCAATTTTTCGCATGTAAGTTGAGACTGGCCATGACTGCTTCTTGGAGATGGGGGAGGTCCTCCTGATCCAAGAGTGCTCGCGTCTGTGAGTGGCTTTGTATACTCTGCAGGGCTCTGTGTATGAAAAAAATATGCTATATTAGTGCCAGAAGCATGATTTATAAAACAAAATAATGATTGGAAGTGAAGAGAGAGATGAAAGTCATTGATTAAAATAAAATCATGATTTAAGGTAGGGTGTAGGTTGTAATAATCATTGTTGTTATCATCATTCTTTTGTATACAATAAGATATGTCAGTTACTGTGATCTACAACTTTATTTAATTTTACCAATCTTCGCTACATGAAAACTAAAGAAGGAAAATTACCACTGTTTCGAATAAACATACTCTGAGACCACACAAACATAAATATCTCTATCTCTATTGCTGAAGATCCAATACTCACTTGAGCGTGTAGCTGAGTTGGTGCTGTGCAATGACACCTGACGAAGGCGGGAATGCTTCATGGAGGTCCTTGAGGCGTTCGACGTGAGCCCTTACGAAGTAAGAGAGAGAAGCCTGCAGCTCAGGTAGGTCCTCGCCCTCATACAAGCCCTTCCCGAGCGCTGCCTGAACGCGGTGCAGCTGTGAGAGAATCCAAGCAGCATCCACAGTGGCCACCCGGCTGCCGACGCACCACCACGACAGCTGCATGCTCGCTTCGGTGAGGCCAAGCATAATGGCATGCTGAGCCAGAGCCGCTGCTGCCCCGCTGCTGACATGGCCGTTCCACGGGGTCACCCACTCGTCCTGCTGCAATGGGAGATGGCTGTGAAATGTGATATCTATTTTCTGTTCGAGTTTAAAGTACGCGGTTTTATAGCCTTTTTTTCAACACAGTGAATATGGGTTATTTTAGTGTCCATTGGCACGTACTAATGCTCTTTTTCTTCTCTTCTCTTCTTCACTCCCGATATATATCTTCAACCGTATCTATATTTTGATCTATTGACACACACACACACACACACACACACACACACACACATACACACAAATCCCCGATTCCCTACTATCTACAAGATCCTCACGTGGTTGTTGTTCGCTGCCGTCGTCAGCTGTTGATGGATGAGCCGCGTCAGGAGAGCATCGTAAGGGCGCCGTCCATTGTCAGCGAGCTTCGTTGAGGTAGACACGAAGGCACGGACACGGACGCTCCCTCGCTCCTTCTGCATGTCGCCGCCTTCCTTCTCGAGGGCGAACCAGCCGTCCATGGTGCCCTCGCTCACCTCCTGCAAAGGCGGGGCTGGTAAGAGGTCCTGCGGCTTTGAATGGCGTGGATGTTGGATTTAAAACATTCGTTAAGTGTTTTTCTTTATTCTGGCAGAACATCAATAGCCATTTTATACTTTAAGGTACAAAATAGCTTGGATAATAAATCTAAAACATTTATTTTCTTGTGAGGCTACGTATATACCAGTTCTTTTGATAGGATAACCTTAATGTACATATTGACTTAATAGATTCAAAGCATTCGTTTCATTATAAAGCTGTGTTTATGCTTCTGTGATAGGAAACACAAACTTAAAAAGGCGAAT